TGCCATCATTCTTCATGCTATAACACATATTCTATACACCACTGCGCACATTTCACACTGTCATTTAACACGACTGCCTGCATAACACCAACGACAACATGTGTTTCACTTATCATACCACCTTCTTATAAGTAAGAATCCTTCACACAAAGAAGATATGAACATAAAAGTGGAAACTTTTCAATCCATTGTGGCTGAATGGAAATCTTGACATTCTTGAAAACACAAAACTAACTCACTACAAATCACTGTATATATTACACACAAAAATACAATGTCACACTAGAGAATTTAAACTTCACTTTACACTCGACAAGACTGTAATCAAAACAACACACACTTTACACACCACTCTCTCATACATAACTAAGACATAAACTCAAAAAATAACTTCTTCAATGGGATCCAGAAATTCACTTTACTTCCTCTTCTTACAAGCACTTATAATACAAAAAATATATCATTCTGACTAATAACCTACACATACATGTAATATTCAGAGGCTACATACCAAAACTACACCTTGTTTTCTGTCATACCAAATATGAACTCATAAAATATAATTCACTCTCTATCCATACAACCACTAAAAAACACATTTCTTCCAAACCACTCAACATAATTCACACGATATTAGTAATAGTGCAAGAATAACCTCAAAGACACATTGCCTCACTACACACCCACTATTCTTACATTCACTTACTTTCCTTAAATCAATAACTGTACGTTATCATGTATTCTTCCTCCACACATACTTCAGTTTCATGGTTCAGGGGGAAAACACTTCGATTTCGTTGTGGAACAGAGGAAACACATGTTTGTAAAATTTCGTGCACTGGCCATTACTCGGTCCAGGATAATACACACATTAACACCTACCATTTGCACTATCTCACTCAATCTTTTAACATATACTTTCAGGCAGATAATTAATCACAACTTGTACATATATGTATATAAACATGCAAATAACACCGTCTTATTATTTATAAATACCTCTTCATACCAGGAAAGAAACGTACCTTGATGGTGCACACCGGATATTTAGGTCACAGTGACAGGGCAGCCAACTTCTTAACATGACTGAAACAGAAACATTCGAATATCAGGCCGATTATGCGACGGTAATTTTCACCCTATTTTTTTACCCATTTTCGTGTATATTATTATTCTAATTCCTATCCAGGAAGGTAAATTCCGGGGGAAACAAATGCCCAGCAGCCACTCAATTGGTCGCGTATCCATACACGAGAAAGAAGAGAACGATGCCACTGATAATAAAGATTTTTCGTCATAAAGTTATGCCATTGCAAGGCAGCATAATGCCATAATATGTAATATTCAGTAATCATTTGTATTAACGTGGGGGATTAGCAAACTCTTGAGGTGGGAGCGGCGTTCTTGACACAATCTAAGCTATCAAGTGGCAACAGAACCTCGGAATATAAAGACACAAATTGATATTATGGGTGGTAAAACAGTTAAGGCGCTCAAATTTATACATAAAGTCATATTTCGACTTATATTCCACGTTATGACAGCCCTAAATTACGTTCGGTTAAATAGCAGCTTCGTAAATGACGTCACTCTTAGGTGTGCGCAATGAACTACTGCGCACCCACCTGTAAACCAGGGGGCTGGCCCTTGGATCGCTGATGTTAGGTTAGGTTAGGTTAGGTTAGGTTGGTTTGGTCAGATTAGGTTTGCGCAGTAGACTACTGCGCATCCATCTGTACCTTGGAGGGGGCCAAGTTCGGTAATTTATGCTAATGTTAGGTTGTGATTATACCTTATGATAGGTGTGCGCAAACGACTTCTGCGCATCGTTATGCTCAGTTAAGCACGGTTTGGCCGTCGGCAATATCGTACGATTGAATGTCTGTGATAGAGTAGTAAATCATTATATATTTATAGGGGACTTTTTTTCCGATTTTCTCAAGTGATAAACTCTTGCATATATTTTTCTGTTAAACTGTCTACATTATCTATAAAACGTGGAATATACTACGATATTTATAGTTGACGTAAATGTATTTTTTCAGAAATATTGACATTTCACAACGGTCTCAAGTGCATGATATCACAATTATCTTGATTTACTCTACCTATCCATTTGTACCTTGGAGGGGGCCAAGTTCGGTAATTTGTGCTAATGTTAGGTTGTGATTATACATTATGATAGGTGTGCGCAAACGACTTCTGCGCATCGTTATGCTCAGTTAAGCACGGTTTGGCCGTCGGTAATATCTTACGGTTGAATGTCCCTTAGCTTATGAAATCATTATATATTTATAATGGACATTTTATTTCCGAATTTTTTCACATGATATTCTGTTTCATATGTTTTACTGTTAATGTACTTTGTGTAACAGCAGTGCAGCACTGACAATACACATGCGAGTTATTTTCCATTTTTAGACAATTTCAATTTCTTGAAGTTACAGAAAATTTCAACACTTTCAATCGTCCTACACTTCGTATTTCTTTAATTTTTCAAGTCATATCCTAATTTAAACATTAAAAATATTGCATTCCCTATATTATCGACAATTCTCGAATTTCCATAATTTCCAATAAAGTTTTATTGGCCGGGATTGCAAATAATCTACATATAGGAAGCGGTTCAAAAATCGAAAAATCGAGAAAATACAACTTTCGAATTTCCAATACGTCTATTCACGATATTTTACTAAAAATTTTCAATATTCTACATTTTTTTAATTTAAATTTTAATTTTACCAATGTTGAAAATAATACAATTTGTCCCATTCTGATAAATCACACACTTTCCTTGTAGTTTTGAAAATTAAAAAAATAATTACAATTAAAAAATTAACGCGTTTCAAATTTTAAATCGATAAATTTATCAACGCCTTCGTTAACGATTCTTCCTAAATACATCGTATCCTCGATTAAATTCAACCAACTGCGCATCCGGACGTCGTCCCTGGCCACATTAGTGTAGGCTATGATAAGCTAGAATATTACGTCACCGTAAGTTGATCAATCACAGAACTGCGCATCCCCCTAGGTGGTTGGCCAGGGCTTGGTCGGATTGAGCCAGGTTAGGTTAGGTTAGCTTAGGTTTGCGCATCTACCTGGCATTGCACAGCACAGTTCACACAGACTCATAACGCTAGGTTGTTACGTCACCTTAGGCTGCGCACTCACACAACTGCGCATCTACCTGCCATTGCACAGCACAGTTCTCACAGACTAGTAACGCTAGTTGTTACGTCACCTTAGGCGGCGCAATCACTCAAGTGCGCATCCGCCCTAGGTGGCTGGCCAGGGCTTGGTCGGATTGAGCCAGGTTAGTTTACGTTAAGTTAGATTTTCGCACAAAATACTGCGCATTAATCTGGCGTTGTACTACAGCTCTCACAGACTTGAAAATTTGGGTCAGGTTACGGTGGGTTGGGTAGGCTCAGTTCTGACAAAACGGCCACTTGGCTTGCAGGCCGGCATATCTTTTATTTCCTAGAAAGTCTTATATTTATTGAACACTTCAACGTCTTCATTTTCCTCATATTTTCAGATTAAATCAATGACAATTGTTATTATTCCTACATTTTATAAAATTCAGTAATTTCTTAAATTTCATAGTTCATTTAAATTTTCTGTCTACGATACTTTTAAATTTAATTATAATTACCGACAAGTTCTTGATTTTTAAAACATCTCAGAATTTAAATTCGTAATAAAATTAGTTATGTTCAAATTCCTACAAATTCTGCACACCTTGAAAATAGTGTACGATGCGACATTTATCGTTTCTTTCAATTTCAGGGACATCCGAATTCTCGCCATATTCCACGAGTTTCAAGTTATTTTTACATTCCAAATAAAAATTAACTGAAATATTTATTTACTTTGACAATAGCTGTAATATCAAAATTCTGATGCATATGACAATTTTATAAATACCGAAAATTTGCTAATTTCTCTCAACTTTCACCATATTAAAATTTTTGTAGCATCGTGTACATCGCAAATAGTTTAACTTTCAAGAATTTTAAAATTCTCAGTATTTTAACATACGATAAATTTAATTAATTACAAATACCTTGTTCTCTTACAGTCTTTGAATGTTCTAAGACTCTAATTTGTCTTGATTTTCGTTAGCCGTCTCCCTCAAATATTTGTTAGTTTCGAATCTGACATCTCGAACTTTTTCCACAATTTTCATCTCTTCCGAAAATCTATCTACATTCTTCACACTAACTCCTTCGCCCTGAGCCCTTCTTGAAAAGCTGCTAGTTGCGCAGCTACTCAAGAATTTCAAAACACTTTATGGGACCAGATCGTTCATTATAAGGTTTCCAAGAGCCCTCCACTGTGGCACTACAACCCAGCATTTGCCACCAAACTGTATCTCCCTACGATCCATCTTAATATTATCCTCCCACCTACATCTACATCTTCCTAGCGGTCTCCTCCTTTCATTCTACCTTTCCTATCAAAATCCTATATGCATTCTTTCTTTTGCTACATTCCCTGCCAATCTCACCCTCCACGACTCGATCATTCTAATTATACTTGGCGAAGTGTACACCGTGCACTTTTCTCAAACATCTTATCCTCAGATCAAATATTCTTCTCAACAACCTCATACCATGCTCCCCCACTAATGTCAAACATCAAGCTTTACACCCATAGAGAACCATGGGCAAAATCATATTCTAAATTTTACATTTCCAGAGAGCAACCAAAAAGACAGAAAGTTCTGGAAAGACTGGTAGCAAGCACTGCCCAAATTCAATGTTCTCTTAATTTCCTCCTCAAATAAAGTTTCCTTTGTTACTGTCCTTCCCAAATATTTCAACTGTTTCGCATTTTGTAGGGATCTGTCACCTATCACCATGTCAAGAGCCTGCCCTGCATTTTGGTGATGAGACACCAACATATACACGCACTGGCTACTCACTGTGTTTACTTCAAGACCAACCTTCTTACATGTAATTATTAGGGCTTCTGTATTTTTCTTTATGGTATCTATGCTACCTTCCAACAGATTCACATCATCATCATCATCATCATCATCATCATCACAGGCCAGCAGCTCATGTGCCTCATTTAATTTCAGTACCACCTGGTTTTCGTGCAACTTTCTAATGGCATACTCTCAAGCACAGTTGAAAGGCAATGAGGGTAAAGCTTCTCCTTGTTCTACACCATTTCAGTCAGAAAATGCATCAGACAAATGTTTACCTATATGAGTTTTACTATACATTTCACTTAAACATCTTAATCAGCAAAAAGCTATCCCTGTAACAGGCCACGAAGGCCCATAGGGTTGTGAGACGTTGAGGGTCCCACACTATCTAGATTCTAGACAATCTGCTCAAAGATGGCGGTACGGTTGTCACTCTTATGCGCCGGCTGCACTTTACTCCCCAGGAAAATTATTTATTTAATTCCTGGTACTCATTTCTGTTAGAGGCTGAGTGAACCCCAGGGCCATAGTGCGGCGGGAAGGATTAGGTCAACTGAAAAAAATCCAATGACCTCATCAGTATTTGAACCCGTGACCTTCTGACTAGTAGCATAGTGCCTTAACCAATACGCTGCCCCATCTTAATCAGAATAAACAGTATTGTGGGTACACCTAAATCTATGAGAATACTGTATAAATATTACACACATCACAATATAGTTTTCCACACATTTCAATGTATAAGTGGTCTTATGACAGGAAATGATCTTCAGAAGTTCACGATATTAAATGTCAACCATGCAGGAATTTGTCATCAAACAACGAAACACAAACCAGGCCTAATCATACCTTATGATAATACTACAATGACCATGAACCTTACTCACTCACTGTTCACAACACTAATAATTAATCATTAATAATGATACAAAAACAATGAACCAACTCAAGTTGCATGAGCTGCCAAACTTATGATAATAAAATACACTTACCTTCACATTGAGGTTAACATTATAATTTACAATAAGCAAATTCAAGTAGTGTGAACCTTCCAATCACATTAATATCATTTAACTCCAGTAGTATGGTGAGCCTTATGAATGTTAAACACTGATATTCAAAAAGAAGCTGACGTTAATGTTAATAAGAAAACAACTGAGGTTGAATCAATTGTACAAGTTATCATGCTTACAGCACGAATGTACTGTATGTGAGGCCACATCCCTCATGTTACACGGAACACTGTGATTCATGCATCACAGTGCTGGATACTAGAAAACTACTGCTTTCACTATCTAGTACGGTTCTTAGAGCTGTTATGTTAAGAGAATTAAGTACAATGCAACTCAAAACGCCCAAAGCTAACTGTATGAAACCACCATACCATTCATACTTGGTTGACAGACATTAATATTTCTCATTCATCAATATACCAATCTCCATGGTGTCACATATTTATTACCTACTAACCACCAGTCCAACAAAATTATCAGGAAGATATTTAAACCTAAGAAGGATCACATCTCAGCAATTCAGGACACTGACCTAACTATAAACATATCACCCAGAATTTCGGACATGGCGAACTCTGAGACACTTCCTTAGCCTCACATGTAGGAAGGATGACAGGACACATGACATTCATACCAAATTTTCTGTGGGGAATCCTCCTGGAAAGTAGATCTGTGCATGATGGAACACCTCATAGCAGAATAAGATTAAAACAGGAAGTGTCAATAAGCAGATTTTTGTATCACAGGTGGATTCTACTGGCTATACATCATATCCAATGAACATCTCCATCATAGTGGCTTTCAACCATTACATTCTGCTGCCAGAACAATGCTTCTTAACATTCAATCAGTCACTTAAAGGCTTTACTAAGGTTTAGGACGATGACAAGCAGTCATCATATCTCTAATATAAACAACAAACTGAGAACAACTGCATTCACAGATGTTATGCATAAGCACATATAATCTTTAAAAGCAATATAAATATGCACACTAATCAAACTGAATGGAAATACTGGGCAATGTTATGAGTGCATTTCCAGTACTACTAAGGGATGATACTAATATCTGATGTCCAAATTCATTCCATTAAACTAAATTTCATCATTACTTGTGCACAGGTGTGGGATGATAAGATGCTCAATTACATGCTTCAGATCTTAAACAAATAACACTTCATAAACATTAACAGAATTCTGGAAAATAATCAAGAAGAGGGTAACCCAGCCAACATGCTCCAATTAACCTCACATCTTAACCTGCCACTGAATACTTATTTTGTTCCTCTCACTACAATAGTCTACATAACCAGCAACAAATTTAAATCAAATGTAAAGAAATATGCTCCAACTTTACACACTCCTTGTAACAGTCATCACCAGGTCCTGGATTTTGATGACCTAAAAATATTTTTAAAATGACCTATAAAATGACCGGAAAAATCAATAAAAATTACATTTTAGTTAAAAGAACAGCCTAAATTGTATCATATCATGAAAAATCTACTAACTGTTTTAAAATGAATTTGTAATTTTTAAACACTGTGAACTCATCGTTACACTTTTAAGTTTGTCCTCGTTTTTACGATGGTCGTACTGAAAGTCATGAGCAACAATTTTTTGTAAAGTAACATGCTTTATTATTGACAAATGAAATACACCACCTCAATCTACAGACCTTTCTTTATTTGTCCACATAATCGCCACTTCTTTGTACACATTTCTCCCAGCGTTCAGCGAGTTTGAAAATTCCCCTCCTGTAAAATTCCGTTCCAGCCATCCGAAGACACTGACACACTGCTTTCCGAATTGCCTCCCTTGTCTCAAAACGTTATCCATGCAGCTGATCCTTCACAAATCCGAAAAGATGGTTGTCGGAGGGTGCCAGATCAGGGCTATAGGAGGGGTGTGGAATAACTTCCCAACCCATCTTTGCAATTGCTTCCAATGTGAGGCGAGCGGTGTGGGGGGGTGAGCGTTGTCATGCAGGATGATGTTTCTTCCCGGACGTTTATAGCACAATGCACGACGGAGCTTGTGCTGCGTCTGGACATAACGAGCAGCATTGATGGTTTGCCCAGGTTCCAGGAATTTGGCCACAATAAACCCCTCTGCATCCCAGATGACTGTGCCCGTCACCTTCGCAGCTGATGGCACTGTCTTTGCCTTCTATTTTGATGGAGAATGCAAATGGTTCACTCATCTTCAAACACTGCTCGCACCCATGCACACATTTCCATAAGCACGCTANCCGGTTTTTGCCACCTGTCACAATACAGAGCAGTTCTGAGGTGATGGTTTTTCGCTGACCTTTGTGGTCTTCGGTCAATAACCGCGGGACCCAACGAGCACAAACTTTCCTATAGCCCAAGCTTTCAATCATCTCCTGTACTGCACCGTGCCCTATTCCAAGTTTTCGGGCTATTGTGTCCACAGTCACACGCCTGTCATCTTGAATGATCTCATCCACTCTTTCCTTGTTGCATTCAGTTGAGGCTGTTCGAGGACGACCGCTCCAAGGCTCATCTTTGATGCTGGTGTTCCCATCTTTGAAATGTTTTACCCATCTTCGAACACTGCTCGCACCCATGCACAGACTTCCATAAGCACGCTGAAGTCTCTGGTGAATTTCTGCAGCAGGGATTTCCTCCTTCACAAGAAATTCAATGACAGCACGCTGGTGAAACGACAAATGGTTGTCAGTCATTTTGTTAGGAGTGATACTGGTCACGTGATGCAAGCTATTGACGTCACAAGACACTCAAGGTTAACACAACAGCTGGTTCCACCTACCACTGTGCTCTCTTTCATCTGCTGTTCCCAGGTTGCATGCAAAAAAAAAAAGTTGTTCATGACTTTTGGTATAACCTACGTATATATATATACTGAACCAATAGAAAACACTGCTTCCAACAGTTGTTGTATTGTTGCATGTGTATCTGTTGCGTGGTAGCTGTTTTGGTTGCTGTGGAAATGCATTTACCAGCTGTTCTCTAGCAACAGCCGTCCCTTGTAGCTCCACTGTTGTGGTTTCAGCTGTCATGTCACAATATTGGCCCTCTAAGTTCCAGTGCCAGTGAAGTACCTGAGGCTGTCAGTGAGGTTCTGCTGGACCTGCATGATCACATCTGGTCTAGTTTTCTATATTTTTTTAATTACGCAACCATGCAAAATATTTGATATTCAGTACTTTCTGCTGCTTTATGGAGTGCATGGTTATCTCTGTTTTGTTATTTATATTTTATTAAACAGTCTGTAGGACTAGGCCTGGCAGTGATAGAATTCAGGAAGTGAACATGATATTATCTCTATTTCAGCTGGTCCACTAGAGGCATTTGGCCGAGTAGCATGGCAACTTCTGCAGGATGTTCAAGAGAGGCTAGTGTTTCGTGCACATTGTTACCTGCAGTCAGATATTCTGCAGTATAAACCTGCTGCTGGTGATCTTGCATACCCTGAGAAGCTGGAAATGATGGAGGTAGAGCTCAATACAGTCTTTCATTACTGGGTTTGTCTCGCAAGTCAGCAGGTGGCAGTAGTGTAGATGTATTCAGGAGATGGCCCAGTTTACATTTCAGCTGGAGTATTGGCTATCCTGCCTGCGAATACATGGTTTTCTCCTGCAGAATACTTATCTACACACCACTCATGACTGTCTTCACATTCCATTTGTCACTGTATAATCTGTACACTTGAAAGTATACTTAAATATTGTAGGAATTGATTTGATTTGCTGGATTTTGATGAAATTTAGCACTGGAGTGGTGTACCCTAAAAGGTTTTGGCATTACTTTTGTATTGATCATATTAACAAACAAACAAACAAACAGCCTGTTGCATGATGAAGTATACACCTTATTAAGATCTAATACTGTATAAATTCTGTTTCAGATGCTTTTAATTTGTATTGTAGGTATTAGCAAACTAGGAGGAGCTGTCATCTATGCCTGTATGCAGTGCAGTGTCTTTGTTACCGTTAGAGTGGAGGTGTCATGCGCCTCCAGAACATTAGTGTCCACTTAACAAGACTAAAAGGGGCCACATCCCAGAAACCCACAATCTCGAGACCTTAGTTTTTGATTCATTTTGTCAACAATAGATTTGTGTTTGGAATAAATGAGTGTCAGGACCAATGAGAGATGTGTGATCACAAAGGAGTTCTTTATGTGGGCATAAGTTATGCCTTTCTTGCAGTAACTTAGTGTTATGTTTTCCAGAGCATTGCACAGTCCCTGCAGGAGCAAGCTGCCTTGTCTTTACGTCGTTCAGAATCCAGGTCATCCCTTGCTTCCATAGGCTCTGCCACGTCACAAGAGGTGGCCCGTATCAACAGCGACAGCAACACAACTGTTGAGCAGCCTCGATCGCGGACTGGAAGTAGGTGTCCTGAGCTTGCATGCCATTATTACATAGAGTGAAGAGTGTATGTACTTGCCAAAAGCAGATTTGCTATGACACATAGATCCTTAATAACGATCTACAGGTATTTCCTATATTTGGAGTTTACAATCTACATAAAAAATATTAGTTGCTTATTGCCTTTTCAATCATTAAAATTTTCTATGATTTTTCAGTATTTAAATGAGTTATTTGACCAGTTCAATGATATTCATAACATCATAGCAACTATTATTTAAATCAATTGGAAATAAGTTCTCCAATGTTGAAATAAATAGTTCATTTTAGTCATTTTTATTCTTTTTTGGTAACTTGTATAGGAGGGTGCAGCGAATAAAGACAGGCATGAATGGGGGATGGGAATTTGGTGCTTAGCAACACTGTCATGGAGGAATACTGCATATGCTTGTTGTAAATGCTGTCAAATTTGTAGGTTTGAAGCTTTGTGAAGATCACATATTTTTCTTTTGTGATTTTCTCATTTAGTCATCTATTGCACCATTCTATTTTATATTTTATTAAGCGTTGTGTTTTACACAAGTGTCTGATGGTCCTATGTGACGATTTTTGAAGAGGAGGCATGTGACAAAACAGGGGGACTTCAGTCCTAGGCATACGGGCAATTCTGTTAGGGATAGTGATGAAATATCAAAAACCTCTGACAAATTTCACTGCACTAATGTAACAACACACATATAAAAGGTCTGTCTGTATAATGGAAATTACTTATCAATGGGCTTTACATGGACTGGTGATTCAATTTATGCTCGTCTGTGGCAAATGACTTACAAATGCAACAATTGCTCCAGCAAAATTGAATTGGTTGGGTAGGGCAGGAGATAGTACAAAACAGGACTTCCCTACCACCTGAATACACGGGAAGGAGTTTGGGGAGATGTATGTTCAATTTGTAAAGAAAGAAGTCGCAGAAACACAAGGATAAACACCGGCATTTCATGGGTGAAAAAGTTGCAGTGATTGCGACATACAGAAACAGTGGATGTAATAAGACGACACGGTAGGGATTTGGAATTATATGTTAAANATGGACAGAGATGCAACGTTAAAAATTGTGGGTAGGCGAACATAATTGGAGGCTTATCATCCATAAACCCACCCCTTAGTGGAAACAATGCCAACAGAAGAGACACAAGCTAGTTTAGAGGAAATTAAATGCCTGGAGTGTCTTCAAACCAGCAGAATCATGTATAAGGTAAAGCTGTCCCTGTGCTTAACTGATTAAGCACTGTACCATGAAAGTATGTGAGGGAGTGGAGGTATAGCTCCACCATTCTTGACTTTGGCACTTGGTGGAAGTGAGTGGTCATCTCCATGCCCCAGCTTCTTTACCACTGGGAAAGAGCCCTCAGTACCCATTGTATAGGAGGCTGGGTGGACCACAGAGCCGGTCTGCATGACACAGACAAGTTAAAATTCTTACCCCCACCAGGACTCAAACTCCGATTCCTTGGTTGTCCAGCCCTTAGCCAGTCACTATATGGACTGAGCTATCCTGGCTCTATACACAGGATTGGGTTCCATTTTCAAATTATAACCCTGCAGTATCACCTGGGTCTTTATCAACCCCTTTGTGTGTGAAATGCTTTTGACTCTGAAGGCCTTAGTGTGAAGGTACGTGATGCCATGAATTTGATAAAATTTTGGGAATTGAGTGGCTGAGCAACTGCTGGCTTGTAAAGAATGAGCCAGCTCCACAGAGTGAGTTACTTGGTCACTTCCATAGCTGAGTATTCAAACTTCACTGTATCATGTCTATGGTTTATGCTGACTGTCTTACAGTGTATACACTTTTTCACCTTATTCTTCGCTTCCACACTACATGTTTCAGCACTAATGTGCCATCCTCAGGTGTCTTTATGCACGTTAAACTATTGTACTTCATGCCATGATGTCTTCATTCTAAAATGACTAAAATCTGTATTCGTCATATAGGATGATGAATTCTAAATAATAAAACTTTTCAGGATTCTTCCTACGTCGCACTCAAATACGCGAATTACGCCAATCCTCTTTTATGTGTGCATTCTTCCTACGTATATTTGTGTATCGTGTTCTGTGTTGTGTTTTGCTCCTGTTACTGCATGCCTTGTACTGCTGGATCTGTGTGTGTGTGCTGTATCAACATCCTCGTCAACATCATCATCATTGCTGTCACTGTTGCCTGTTATTCTCATTGTTATTATTATTGTTGTTGTTATAATTAGAGAGCTGGGATGCCTCAGTCGGTATAGTGACAGGCTACTGGCTGGATGGTCAGTGCTTAATTCACAGCAGGGACAACATTTTTCTCTACTCCAGTGTCCAGACTGACCCTGGAGTTCTATCCCCGGGGGTTAAGCGGCCGGGGCGTGAAGCTGAACACTCACCTAAAACTAGTGCCGAGGTCAAGAAAACGTGGATCTATACATCCACTCTCCCACGTCTTAATTGCATAGTGCTTAATTACTTCAGCACAGTGACAACTTTACTTTTTATACCCAATTAAATTATACAGTTAAATTTATCATTTATCCTGTTTGGCCAAAGAACAATGCATTCCCCTTCATTTCAAATTATTAACTATGTGGTCTTAAAAACTGACTTCAAACGAAGCATATGATTTCACGTCAGTGGTACGCACTGTTACAGTATTCTTTTTTCAGAACATTTTTGACATTGTCTATAACATTTTCCACCTGTACACCGATGAAAATTAACATATGACAACCTTTGTATGTGCCACAGAATGTAGTGTGATAAGCATTGAATGATGATCACACACCTTTAGTGCGTTCAGACCTACCTACTAGTTTCATCATGTCCATCTGTCTGTCTGCAGGTATCAGCGCTCACTCTGCCTTGCCTAAGTTAATCAAACTGGGTTTCACAGACCAAAACAAAATTTTGTCAAGATTTTATTTTGTTCCGGTGGCATTTCTTCATTTTTAAGGGTCGTGTTACTTACTGCATAAATTAGCATTTACGTGCAACTGCGGCTCTTTGACAGATTTCTATGAGATTTGATCTATATTCTTATATTATACAAGTTTGACTGTGCGGTTCTGTCCGCTTAATTTGATTTTAAGCCCCTCAATACTGAAAGACTTGAATTAATTTTGAAACATGTACATCAAGTATTCAAATGAGAAACCGATTTGCTACAAGAAGGTCACAAGTATGGATAAACTATAGACGTAGTACGTTATATAACATTTGTAAAAATTTGTCATTTCCAGAAAATCACTAGCATTAACTGATAAACAGTGTTTAATTGGGTACCCCCAAAATTCTTGTCCCAAGTCCTGTTATCAACCTGAACTTGATAATCTGTTAAATTTACTGCCATGGACGCTAGCAGCAGGGAAGAAAAACTTGGCATTTGCAACAACCCCCCCCCTTATTTAAAAAAAAATGAAAACTGAAGAAAGAAAGGAAACTGTCAATATACCAGCATCTTTTAAGTTAGCAACAGCATTCTTAAACGGTTTAAACATGCTTGTGAGGAAATTTTTTGCTTGCCACCTTCCCTTGGATGTAAAGTGTTGAGAAGTGAGAATATGTACACGTGTAATATATTTATGTTCATACTGAATTGAACTGGGCTCGATATAAACAGGTACTTTTGTACCTAAAAATGAATTGAATTACAAAATTTGTTGAAGATAAGTAAAAAATAAAAAGACCAGCAGACAAACACGAAGAAACTAACAGGCATGTAGGAATTGTCAAAGAAGATTGCGAATAACTGTGAAAATTTTTTCAGTTTCGGAGATGCATTGTTCTTTGTTTCACCCGCTCGCCACGGTGAGGCACAGGATATGAGCGGGGACCTGAAACAAAAGAAACAAACAAAAAAACACTTCAGTATGAACACCAGCAAACGGATATTGCACTAACGAATGAACACACAAGCTTACCTCTGCTGTTGGTACTCTTGCCATTTCTTCTGTAACACGTCTTCTTTTAAATACAAAATTCTTCAGACAATATCCTGTACGTTTTAATATCTTCGATCGTGGAAGCGTACAATTGAGTGTACCATTTGTTCACTGCAATTGTCCCCGTTAAAATGGACAACACAGTTAAACTGAAAAATAAATGTACGTTGTTTGGTCCAGAAATAAAAACAAACGACATAACGAAGTAGAACTTTCCGTTTTCATTCAAGTCTTGAGCACTCGCCATAAAAAAATAAAAAAGCAACATATCGATGACTTCCCTCAAAAAGTCAGCTCACATTTATCATGTTCGATGGCTCCTTTTAACACAAAACGAAAACACAAGAACGCAGTCAAATGAGAGACATTCCAGTGCATGGAAAGAATTCATTGTAAAATGAAATCTTATCCTGTGTCGCACAGCCTAGTGGCTATTTACAGAACTAACCAACGTTAGTGTATTCAACTTAAACAGAATACAACATATTCTTTTTCTAAACAGAAGTTACTTTTTATGGCAGTTAAGTGTTTGTCACAAAAGCCAAACTCCGACAACAATCGGTGATTTTTACTGACACGTGAAATACAATCGTCACAAATTCGCGTGTTTCTCTAGAAGTAACAATGTAATACCCTTACATTATCGACCCACCTGATGGGTTTCATTGTGATGACAAACGTTGTCTCCTCCGTTGCTGAAGCTGCAGCCATTTCGACTTACCTTGTGCATTTTTTCATGACGACAATAGATGTCTTCTTTTATGCAGAAGCTGGAGCACATTTTATTGACTCACCTTTTGCGTTTCCTTATTTTAACATTTTATAAATTGAATACACAGCACAATACACACAAACAAATATAACATGTCATCAAATTGAATATGCAGCACAATACACAGAAACAAATATAACATGTCGTCATGAAATTTTATGTCTATTTTAGATATACCTGGTACATACAGATCCAGTTACTTATCTTTCAACATTGAATTGAAAGAGGGATGAAAGCAAAATGAAGTTTTGCTTTATTGGATCTTCGTC